ATCTCCCACCTTCCCTCAGCCGTGACACCATCCTCAAGTTAGATGTAGATCAAGATCTTTGGCAAGAGTTCTTTGACCAAGAGCCCGGAGAGGGAGAGCTCCCCAAATGGGTGATGGATTCTAGTGTTCGTGAGAGCATTCGCTATATGCAGGAAGCAAATAATTGCCGGTCTGAGATACGCAGACTCACTGCAGAGCATGCTAACCTCCGACACTGGTTGGCTCATGAGCATGCTGCATATGAGTCACTTTTTCGGTCATGTCAAGGAAGGAACAGCGTTGACGTGGCCTTTCTTGCTCTCAAATGGCTCCATGAACTTCACAATCTCTCCATTTCATGGCAGAATCACACCGAAGATGTCCCTTGTCCTCACGATGCACTTCCGTGGCCGGACACCACCCCTCCAATGTCAAAGGAGGATTTCTGTTCCCTTTACACCAACGTTCAATCCACCAATACTCAGTACCCCGGGGCAGGTCAAGATGATGGTGTGGACAGCGCGGATGAGGCAAGTCAAGATGATGATGATAATGATGAAATAGAGCCTGATGAGATGGAGGAAAACGGGGCTCTGGCTCTGGCTATGGCAGCATTAGATATGGGTGAAGATGCTCGCCTTGACCCAGAGAATGTAGAGGGTTTCGCAATGTAAGTTGTAATTGCTGGCCCATGGCGATTCCCACAGTGTGGCCATTTCCCTCAGTTGGCCGGGCAATTGTCTCATGAATTCAGCTCCAACTCTCACATGCATGTGACATCAAATAGCGCGGGAACTCTTTCGCATTAATGAGCGGATTTGGTGCCGATCTCGAATATAACAATGTAATAATAACAATATTAACATTAATTCCGGAAACTCTATGAGTAGATATAACAATATAACAATAAACTCGGACAACTCCGCTACAATACAGCTAAGGTCATAACTGTTTGTATCCTCTAATCACGTGACATAGAGAGGGAGAAAGAGAATAGGCATCATGACAGCGGACTCGGCCTAGCATCGGGCCAGCACAGAATGTTGATTGCGGAACAGGAAAACAACGGCTGAGGGCGGGCCGGTTACAAAGAGAGTACAGTTAAGATACAACGTAATCAAAGGCGGAGTGGGGGAGGTGGAGGGTAGACAAAAGAGGAAATGCAGCCTGAGCGGGGAGGAACAGGAGCTGAGGGCGAACAATTCACAAATCAAGTAAATAAAGGGTTAAAAAAATACACTTACAGAAAACAGCAACACATGGAAGGGAGAGTAATAACCACGCGATAACGAGGGGTAACTGACAAGCAAGCGTGAGTTAGAAGCCCGGCTGCACTGGGGAAACATACCAGTGACACCGAGCGCAAGCGCTGCGGCAGTGTGAACAGCTCCAAGTCGCACGTGCCCGACTCCGATTAGTCCCGTGAAATAAACTGGAATACATAGCAAACTATGTTAGTAGCAGTGATGGAAGCAAACATAATAGAAAAATAATGCAATCACGAAACCGGGTGGAGAAAAAATTTGCTTACTAGACACAAGTTGAAGAACAATCAATGAAAGCACCCACTGGAAACATAATGTAAATAGGAATAAACACCGGGTCATTTGGATCTGAGACCCATGTCATCCACGTTGATGTCAGCAACATGGCAAGCGGGGCAAGCTGGCAGGCGAATGGAAGAGCAAATGGGCAGGCAACATTGTGGCTGCAGCGTGACATGCAAGACAAAACACGGAAACAATCAGTGAACGTGCCCAGTACAAGCTCGGGGACCTCAAAGCGAGGACAAGAGTTTCAGATTCCACAGGAGTCAGCTGGTGGGGGTACGGAATAGTCGCGGAGGGGGATATAAATCTAATATACAAGGGAGGTACGAAATATTAATTGCTTCGGACAATACAAACAAACCGAGCCTCATACCATTGCATTGACGCCATGGAAAGTAAAATGAATTTACGAGGGGAAAGTGGGCCATGGGACGTAAAGAGGACAATCATCAGGGGACAAACTTACCAGCACAGCGAGTTCAGGTCAAAGCCTGCAAAAAAAAAGTCATCAGATTTGTTGCGAAGAACGGGGTTGCAGCTCCAATTGGAATAACGAACCCACCCCGTTAGGCCATCATCTGATAAACTCTGTGAATACTGAACTAGCTAGGCTGAGAGACAATCAGCGGAACAATCTACAGGGGAGAGACAATTAGTGCGGTTCATGCCAACTGAAGAAACCGGCAAACCTCATGGAACCCTACAACAAACCCACGCCTCACTGCAACGATGAGTTAGCTAGGCCACACCCCAATCGAGGGACGCAAAGCGTATGCTTAGGACTGAGGAGGGAAGGGAGGCTTGGCGGTGGTCGCGGCGCTGCGCGGGTTCAGTAGAGGATGGGGAGAGGATGGGGAGACGGAAAGAACTAGACAGTTGCGAATAATTCATCACCTGATCTCGGCGTTTGCCTCCTTTGTATTGAATCTTGCCGAGGGAAGTTGCCGCCATTCAGACACCTGCGGCAAATGACAGTTAGAACGTTCAATGAACGTTCAATGATGATCAGAATACCCCACTGGAGAATGTTATAGAACGTTCAACAACCTTTTGGCCTATTAGGCACATACACACAACGTTCACTGATTGTTTAGAACGTTCAGTCGTGGTTTTAGAACATTCTAATCATTACGAGCATTCCGTTGGAGAACGTTATAGAACATTCAACAAGCTTTTGGCCTGTTAGGTATATATATATATAGCGCTTTTGGGTACCTAATCAGGTCTCCAAAATATGGGTGACATGGCTGGTTGAGACAAGGTGTTAAGTTTGTTCGGTGGTTCAATTGTAACTGCTAGTACGCCGTAACGCTGCATGCAGCGCTTCTGGCCAAAAAGTTCCCACTTTCTCTCGATCCTCAGTTCACACATGCACATCTCGAACTGAGGCACGATTTCTTGTTTGCAGTTCCTCAACCCATGTAACGGCGGGCCAGCCGCATGCAACTCTGTACTTTCTCTCTTGGACATTTCTTTTTTATCTACGTTCCCTCGTTCATGTAGTTCTGCATTGACTCGGAAATCTTGCATGTTTCTCGCTCAAATTATATGTCCTGGTTGGCCCCCACGTATACAGCTGAAGCTGAGCCTGGTTGCATGACCAGTGAAGACTGAAGCTCTAGCCGGCCAACGCAAGTCACGTACTCCCTAATCGACCTCTTGTCTTATCCCTCTACCATCTCGCTCTCAGCCCGATTCTTGATCATTTTTTCAGTTTCCAAGGTTTCATCGTCATTTTTGGTTCGTGACGCGCCGGGCAACGCCGACGTAGTAACTAGCATTCGTGGAGCATCGAACTTTGAACTCGTTTCACATAATACCCATACTGGCACGATACGACATGCATGACTTCACTATTCGACGCTGGGGCTTAATTTGAGTCTTTGACGGGACTAAGTAATCACCGGATGGGGCCAAGGGCCCAAACTGCACGTCTTCGCCTGTCACATGGACCTCTTCCTCCATGTATGTTTCTGTGCCTGGCTGCTTTTGCGTTTTTCATGATATTCGTTCTCATCTCGTGTGTACCGATCCTGGACTGTATGTATCCTGACTCAGCTCATCACGGACGTGCTAGCAGAAGTGTCGAGCTCAGTGCAATGGGGTCACCACCCAGGACATCTGACCACCACCACATATGAGCTTTCACTACGCTTCTGGGAACTAAGTTAGCAGTACACTTGGGCTGCTCGCTTTTGTTTTGTTTTTGTTTTTGTTTTATTTTGTGTTGAGCAGAACGAGCACTCATGACCATCATTGTTATAATACTGTTCGCTTTGACCACCCTGTTTTTGGTTGTCGATCTCCTTCCCCCCCACCTCGATCATGCCTGCGCAAAACCAAGCCCCACGTATTCGTTCTCGCGCGCCACTGCTTCGGAGCGTTCTGCTCTCACGCATACAATTCTTTTAGTGTGCCTTATGTTTGAATTCTTGTTTTTGTTCTTTCACCTCATGTTCAATATCTTTTGTCTTACATTCACACCAGGATTTGCGCGTTGCCGCTATATCGCCTAATCATAAGTACTGACCACCCCAGCCGAGTCGGCGTTCCAGGCTCGTCAGGACATCTGCCAGCACTGTACTGGTAAAGACGGTCGCGCAAGTCGGAGCCTGAGGATTCAGTCCCTGTGCAGCGAGCGGGCCATTGGGTTAGCGCTCCGTAAATCGTCAACCAGCCAATCGTGAGATGCCCCCAATATATACGCGGATGTTTGCTGCAAAGCTCACATGTGCGCAAACGGGCAGGGCGCTTAGTCAGAGTAGCGTGATGAACTGCTTCGACGTGTGCTGAAACTTCTTCGATTGACGGGCACCCAGTGGTACAATAGAGTCGAAGACGCAGAAAATAGATAGAGATCAACGGACGGCGGTAAAGTAGCACCGGACAGGAGATACACGAAGGGGAAAACATAAGAAACAAGAAACAAAAAGCGAGAAACGACAACTGTCATACGGGGGACTCTTTCGCTAGTGAACAATGAATCGTCGCGGAGAAACTAAAAAAAGAATAACTAATTGACATGAAGGGAAAAGATAAGTGAAAACTGAGGCGTAGGTACGTTTCAGGACCACAGGATAATCAGATCAGATCAGTAACCTGGATTTAGGTATGATGGTGACGCGGCGTTGCTTACACCAAAGGAAGTAACGCAGAGCTCAATAGGCGTGCATCTCAGTCTAACCAGTGCAGTGAAAAGTAATATTGTACACAACTACCTGGATGAATACACGTCTAAGATAGGTGAAACAGAGTGGAACGGATCCCAGCACGAATTCAGGCAAAAGAAAGGAACTGTACTTACAGCAAACATGCTTCTAGCGCACCATGTGACGGAGCTGAGCTATAAAATCGACTAATGTAGGGGAAGCTCCCGCCAGTGGCGTAACCCAATGTTAGTGGCGAAAAATACACGAGTGGACCTGATCAACTTACCATGAAATTTGCTCCTTGCCCAACAATGAGGGCAACATAAGATGTTCCTGGACATGTAAGGATGTCAGCATGAGTCTCAATGTGAGAGGAGAAATGATACTTACGACCAAACCTGTTGGGTGGACACTATGCGAGCCAACTGGCTCGCAAAGTTCCACCCTAACAGGAAAGGGGCATGGACAACAGGTGCAAGCGCCTGTGGGAACATGTCCATACCGACGCCACGAGGGCGTCCCGCCAAAGTGTCCCACTCCCACTCTCCCGAAATAAACGGGACATACCACTGCATGAACGGATTCAATGAATATTGCTTGCTAAGAAAATCATGATACGTACTCGTCATATGACGGAAGTGATGTGTTCGCCGCCTTTGTTGGAAGTTTGGCGCAGAAATAGTGATTGATGAGCTACCCAAGAAGAGAAAGATCCGTGACGAAAGAAACCTGGCGACAGGGTACTCCAAAGGAAGTGGGTTGTGACCGAAAGGCAGGAAGGCTGAGAGCTTCAAGGGAAACGGCCCGGGGCAAGAGCATACGTCGAGACCAGGTGACAGAAACAACATGTTGAAGCGGAAAGGAAGGTGGGTCGTTCTTTCTCGCTGTGCATCCATCGGATGGAAAAGGGAAAAGGGCGTGTATGGGTTCCTGCACTCCATTTACCTCTTCTTTGTTGTCTACTCCCCTTTGTCGATGGAACCTGCAAAGCGCGTCGAATCCGTAAGGTGTACAACGGGTCATCGGAGTCCATGGGCAGCCCAAATGGTCATAGAGGGAAAGCAGGATGTGTAGACCCGATAACCAGTAAAACTGATCCACAAGCAGTTCGCCAAAGCAGACACGGCCAGGTTGCATGAAGATGAGAGCTGTGATCATAGGTCGATTGGATAGGTGAAGGGGGCATCTCTTGGGTGCGCTAATAAGTGAAAAATTGGCTGTCTAGATATAGCCCACAGCTTCAGGGTCCGATAGGGTTGAGGCCGCGAAAGGTTTGGAGTGGCTACCAATGAGACATTGATGATTCGAGGATGGTGAAGGCTGGCGACGACTAGAGTTCCGGGAGCAAGGGCGCAGGGAAAAACGAACGGGCAGACTGGTCAGAACTGTGAGCGAAAGCGAGTCGTGCTCCGAGGTTGCGCATCCATCGGATTGAAGGGGCCCCATGTGTCCTTGCACTTGATTCAGTTGGTTGTTGTTCGCTTCCTAGACGATGGAATCCACAAGGCACGTCGGTCACAGGTCGATGAGAAGGCCAAGGTGCCAAAGTGCAGTGAGCGAAGATCGACAGCCTAGAAATCATCTAAAATGTTAGAGTCGTTGCGTAATAGGCAGGGAACCTGTACAGGGACTTGAAGAATTGCAGATGGGTCGAATGGCAGCATGGGTGACGTGCTAAGGGTATCAAGTGAAGGGGTAGAAGATTGATGGGGGAACGTCAACGTGGACAATGAGTGGGACGTCGAGGGCCTTGATTCATGGAGTGAAAGGGGTTCAGAATGGCCACAGACCAGGCTTCGAGAGACAATCCAAGGACGTCAAAGCCGAGTAGCGACTGGGGTTCCGAGAGCGAGGGGGGAGAAGAAGGAACTGGTGGGGAGAACTTATGCTCAGACCACGCTTTTATGCCTCTCAGACCTATTCAATCCTCTCTTTGTGATGACCAAGCTCCAGACTGCTGAAAGAATGAATAAAACCTTCCAAATTCAGCCACCTTCTTCGTCGAAATTCCAACCGGCGATATGAACATGATCCCAGAATACGTAGTTGATATTTCACAAATTTCGAAATTTCTCGTCAGCCAGTGCACCGTTTAGCTTCGTTCAACTGCGAAACTGTTCCCAAAACGTCCCGCTACAATATCCGTGAGCAGGAGATTGGGGGACGATACAAGATGACACCAGGAGGGGAGAGAAGGCGTGTGGGGAAGACGTATTCACTCTTTGGCTAGGAAGATAGCTAGGAAAGATCCGGTCATCAAGGCGATGCATCAGCATATTAGCCAGGATTGGTTATTCGTATTAACCGAATTGACTCTATGTAGAAGAATTTGCGCACCCCTGTCAAGGTCATGCCCCGAAACCATCGCTGCACTGGGCCACAAAATTTGCCGCATGCCTGAATATACCAGGACCTTCGCTGAAGAGTGTAGCGGTGCACGGTGTCGCCGACGCCACTTCGTGGCAAAGAAAACTCCAATCGACGCTTCCACGAATGCGACATGGACCCTTCAGCTGCTGTTAGGGCAATATTTCGTAAATGAGATCAAGTATCCAGATCTTCCCAGCCGATTCAGTCAATTCCAACTTGGTAAGGGATTTCTCCCGAGACACAGATCATGAACCATCTCATTCCGTTTATGATGAGCGTGGAGAAATGCTCATACAAAATTGAACGATTGGAAGAGGACGGGCCAGATGAGCTCGTCGTGGAAACTTTAGGAAACCAAGCCCATCTCATCAGGAATGCCACCCAAAAAAAAAACGGAGATGTGTAACAAGGATTACCGATTACCTAAGTGTTAGCTAGTATTGTGATGAATGAGGAAGGTTCGTTCCCACCGGCTGCCCTGCGCTGAATGGATGGGCATTGGACCCACACTCCGGGTCCGCCACGTGCCAAGGGCAAGCACAAGCACAAGGCGCAGCTGCACCAGACATCACAAAACACAGGCAAAACACGCCAATGGCAAGCCGCACTCAGCAATTGCAGAAGTATACGTCTAGCTGGGGGAAACTTTCAAATAGCAAATCTTGTGGCGAGCGCTCACAGTCCCCTGTGTGGCGAGATGGTTTCTCGGCTTATACACGTTGAATCCATAACTGATAAATCACCCCTAATTATACGCTTGGTTTTGGCGTTCGTGGGCGGCTTCTGTTCATTACAAAATGAGTGGTGGAACGCCGACGTAAGTCTCATCATTAGCCTTTTCGCTGCATCTGCCACTGAAGTCAATGGTTCCAGGGTCACATTTGCTGCAGAGAGCGCTCCCCATTCATGTACATCTTCATGCATCAAGTAATGCTCAACGTCAAGGCTGTACCGTCTACCGTATTGGCTGCACCATCTGATCAAACGAAGCCCACTTCAACCTATTACTGCCGTGCGATCGAACATTGCATATCAAGGGTGAAGGCTGCGTGCGATGTAAACGCCACTGGTGCTCTCAAGGAATAAGGCGGCGGATTCTGAATGCTTGAACTTTGTCAATAGACATCAGGTTAATATGGGAATTGCAAAAGACCAAGATCTTGGTTTTCACTGGAATGGAGAGATACTCTCCATTCCCGTGAACAACGGAGATATTGGCCTTCAGGTCACATAACGACTGATGGATATCGAACACACCGGTCTTGTCCTAAGAATCGAAAAGCCTGCAGAGTCGCAACTCATGCGCAGCAAATGACTCGTTGTGGGCCCCGTTATTAGCATGGGTGCTAGTCAGTTCAGCATGAGCAACTCCAATCATGTTTCGACTCTGAACGCTGACGCATATTTCCCGGTTACAAGCATAAACATCGTGCACTAGCCCCAAGTTAATCGTTCCATTCTGAGAGATACTGCGACGAGGTCTGAGAAAGTCTCCAGAGCTTGATGTCGTCCCAACCACCAGCTGGAGTATGGCTATTTCTCACAGAGAGACGCCTTACCGATTCCCGTTCATCTGCAAGGATGGATAAGGCGAAGGTCCTGTACTGCGAGATGAATGGAACCTGGAAACGAGGTAAGAGAGAGATGTCTGAGTACTCTAAATGAAAGGTCCTTCCATACTTTCTTATCCAACTCGTTCGAGCGTTGGAGGACTACAGCATGTTAGTTCGTGACAGCGATATGGACTATTGTAGCTGTTATTTCGTCTCCTCACCTCCTTGAAAGTGACATCCTGGGGGAGGTGAAAGCTTGTTGAGGTGCATCTCCGATTCCGTGATCTCACTGGAACGATACCCTCTCATTCCCGTGCATGTGAGGCCAAGGGTTCTGGAGCATTGTCCTAGCCCAACTATTCTCCCTCCCATCCAGGCGCTTCTACCGGTAGGAGACGGAGATGCCCCGACACTGCCCGAACTTCCGCGGCCGGTTCACGTATGAACAGTTTTGTCTATTCCCGAACCGAACCGCTCCGTGCGAGTGAGTGTTCGTTTCCACCATGCGAGAATGAACGTGTGCAATTCGGGTGAACACACAGAAAAATCGTTGATTTGTTGAGCTCTGATTCAATTCAGGACACCCGGCAGCTAGCGTGAGTATGCAGAATGCAGAAATTTTACTTGAACCCGTTTCCACCACCATTCCGTCTTTTCGTTTTGGCGACCGCTTAGCTAGTATCGTCCCGTCAGCTCATCTCGAAAGATCCAGGAGGTGCCGCTGCCGCGTATCGAAATGAATTGCCTGACTACCCTAGCGATTCACCCGTCATCCACAATGTCACTGAAGCAAAAGGTCAACGATCCCCGGCGGGAGTTGACTGTGCAATTTCCATTCTCACAGTAATCAATGCCGTGTCTGATCTGCTCCCTCTAAAAACTGCCACCGGCGGGGCACTCTTCATCTTGGACGAGGTCAAGGTTGGTGGCGATTGATATGCGAAATTAGGAACGGAAGCGCTGATCATTGTTCTGTAAATGTTCAGGGAGGCTTTTGGAACATACATCGTCAAAACAATGGCTGACGTAGTCACGACCGTTGACTCGTATGATGCGTCGAGCGAAGAGGGAAAGCCATGGATAGAAAGCGTTACAATGCTAAGCGAGTAAGCAACATGTATCCGCTGGCCCCCTGGCTCGTAATGACACAGACGTTTGGTAGGGCATTGCAGCGTATCGAAACCAAAATCAGTCAATTGTTTCGCGGGATGGGAAAGCGGCCCGCTGTCATCAATTTCATCTCTCACATGAACAATCCGGGCATGATCAGTGACCTCAGGAAAGATTTCTGTGAGGCTTCAAAGTCGTTCCAGGTAACAACGCCCAATCGCTGTTGTTGTGTCGCCTTTTTGATCTTAAGGTGGCGGTCATCACGTAGGTGAGGACGAACTTGACCATTGGTGTTATTGTAAGTACAGCTCGCGGAATCGAGAGTGCCTCAGCTCTGAGCGACCTATCGATCGTATTAGCATCGATCTCTCCGACGGTGCGAACGTGGATGACTGTGCTACCTACATCCGCATGCAGCTACGAAAACTGATGGATGTGCATCCTAGTTTGAGAGACGTACTGGGAGAAGAGGACAAATTGATCCAAAACATTCTGGAATGAGTGGGTGGGTTGTTCATTTGGATCAGTACCGTCTTTCATTACATGAAGGTGGCAAGTGGCGACCCTATGAGAACGCTGGAGAAATTGCTTGATACGGGCGCTAACCGATCGAAGGCCCGAGCCGAGGAAATGATGGACAGCCTGTATACGACCATTCTGAAGAAGTGTAATCGGAAGGACGAAGATTTTGTGCATGACTGCCATGCCCCATTGTGATGGGAGCAATCTTGGTTGCGCAACAGCCATTGTCAGTTAGGGCTTGGGATGCCATACTATCACCACTCCTTAAGTCTTCCATACATCACACATTAGCCGAACTTGCACCCCTCCTCTTAGGGGTTAGGGAACCTGATGAGCCAATTCGTATTTTACATCAATCATTCCACGATTTCCTCATAGACCGAACTGAACCAGAATCCTCAGCACTTCATCGTTATCTGGTGGATACGAAAAGGGAAAATATCCGAGTGGCCCTGCATTGCGTTGAGACCTTGAATGAGGATCTTTGCCGTCTGGACGGTTTGGGGTTAATCCAAAAGTTGCCGGAAAAGGTCGAACTGTCCCCCATTCCTCCAGAAACGCTGGCCGAACACTTCCGTTACGCGTGTTGGCATGTTGTGTGTCACCTCAACCAAGTTTTGGAGCCTCCTCACATTTCTTAATCAGCAACTCACACGCTGGGTGGAAGTCTGTGTGAGGGGATGGAAGGATACATCAGTATATCTTCGTTCCCTGAATGGGCTAAGGTACGAATCATTACTTCATCTTGCGCATCATTCTCATTTCGTCTGGTACTCCGTCAGTTGAGTAGTGATGTGGGTTCAAAGGAAAGAGATGCAGAAGTTGGCCCAAGTACTTAACAGATTGGAGAGGAATTGGTCTTTTTTTTTTTTTCAAGATTTCGGGAGGGGCACGAGTTCGCGAATGATTCGGTTGCACTTTGGCGTTGCATCACTCCAGAATCTCCGTTTGGTATTCGCCGAACTCGGACGAGCACTCGCTGTGATCAAACAAAGTGTCGAACCCTGGCGTGGGATAGCTGCCGTCCATCCGACATCATCATACTGTACAACCCCACTTCTGGCTGCATCACTACGGGATCTCGAAATTACGCTCAGCAATCTCGGGAGGCTCTCCCAATCAATGATTGAGGAAAATGTCAAACTCTGCCGCGGTCTACTAGTTTCCATTGATCGGATATCCCACACCCCGACTCTGGCGTTGTCACTCCGGACACTCAGTGTTTCACTCACTGACCTTGGACGAGGCGTTCCGAGACGTTATCAGTGATGAAAGAAAGCGTCAAAACTTTGGCGCGAACTAGTTACCGTTAATCCGACATCGCACACACCGAATTTGGCACACTCACTCCACTACTTTGAGCAAATCATTCCACAGCCTTGGTCGCCATGCTGAAGCCCTACCTTTAGCCGAGGAATCTGTTTCTATTTGGCGTTCACTGTTTGCTGACTATCCCAAGTCATATGCCTCCAATTTATTCCAGGGCGGTTGAACACTTTATCCCCCATCTTTTGATCCCTGGGGCGCTATGCAGAAGCACTTGACTCGGATGGAGAGTCATTATCATTCCATTCAGGAGAATACCCCGACACCTACGTAGAAGTAGAAGGGCTTCAACGGTCATATTCTCTTGCTCGTACATTGGAGGGTCTTGGAAGACTTGAGGGACTGGCAGCTGTATCCGCTCTCATGGAAACGAGAAAGCGCATAAACTTATGCATCCACACCCAGCATGCCACATCCCATCAGACACCCTACGCCAATGACCACAAACTCGATTGAAAGTCCACGAGAGTTCGCTTTATCAACTACGTTGTATTCCCGCTGCCGAGTATCCGAGAACACAACGTGCTTGCCCTAGTGGCCCGGGCCACGGAGATATACAGCTGGGAAGTCCTGAACCCATTCGCAGAAATTAGACCTTTGTGGGTTATTACATAGATGGGAGAATCGATATTCGGCTGCCGTAAATATGCTTAGATGTTCGATATATAGATACTTGATTTTTGATGGAACGCTGTTAGTGTCGGTGTTTCCGTCTGGTGACTGATGGCGAACGGGACTGTACGTGTTCAATTATCGATCTTGTCGTGTTGGATAATTAGCTACTGTGGAAATGATCTAGCTAAGCTCTTTTGTTAGGTCCAACTGGCAGGCAAGGCAAGGCAAGGCCATGGTTTCATGTCGAGTTTGCCCTCCTAATATTCCAACTTTTAAACAGTAATGGCGCCTTCTGTATACAGATCTAACATTATTTAAGAGCATCTATTATGGTTACGTGCACATTTCACCCAATCCACTCACTCGCTTTGAATGCAGATGGTCCGGTGCTATAAGCGGTACGTCACTCAGGCTGACTGAGTATGTTGTTGGAAACGTTCGACACCTGCGCAGGAAACTCATCGGGTTTGCTGGGGCCCGGGGGGCATTCGCTAAGGATGGTCAATGTTGACCGACGCTGGGAAGGAGTGACAGGCTTTGGCGTATATAGCAGCATTTGGTCGATGATGACTATATTTCACGATCTGCAACTTGTAACCGAATGCTCAAGAGTCCCTTGTTGCGGCAATGATACACCTGATTAATTCATAGGCCAACAACACTCAGCGCCATTAGAGTATCTGCGATAGAGATCGATCGTCGAACACATCCACTGTGGAACAACTATATTTCGCCGCTTGGACCGCAACAGTGCTAGGTCGGACCTACTTGATTGGTTCGGACGCAACGTGTCGGGCAGCGTCAAGAGGCCAAAGTCCACTCAAGAAGAGGGTGTTGCTTGGCGGTTGTGTGTGTACATAGACGCCACCTAGCTGAGTGAAGTGGGGCGAGTGAAGACAAATGTGAAAAAGTTTGCTTGGACGAGAAATGGTTCTGATGGGAACGTCAGGATCGACGTCGCGTCCGAAAGCGGCCAAAATTCCGCCTCCGAATTACATAAAGCCAAAGACAGAGACAGAGATGGGAAGATAATGAGGAGTTGTGGCACAAGTTTGGGCAAAGGTGCAATGCTCGTTCGTGAAAAAGAGAGTGAGGTTGAATTCGGTCGTCAAGTAGGAAGACTAACCACCGATCGATGTGAATCGAGTGCATGCATGCATGCATGGGCCAAGATGGAATGGTTCCGACGCGAACGCGTGAGTCGGTGTTCGGATGAGTGAATAGGGTGACTAACAGGGCATCGTTAACTTAGGTTGACACACTATGTGCAGTGAGGCATAAACATATTGTCCACGCTCTAATACGAGTGAACGGGCATGTATATAAGAACAGTTTTACAGAAGTGATAAGGGACGATAGGGAGAGATCATAGGAGTCACTTGCCAGTCCCACATCTACTGTTAGGCATATTCTCATGGAATTGGGTTCATCGAAGTTTCGCTGATAAGTCACCATAGCTGTCTGACAATGGGGAGAAAATTGCATTGGTCGAGATTATGTTAATTTTCGCGAGAGCGGAACTGCCTGGCTGAGGCGCGGGGGGTCCGGCAACAACAGCCCATGGATTGGCACAGAATTCCTTGCACGTCGCATGATTATAATCATTCCTGCCACGGTCTGAGCTGGTTGCTGCAGTGCCTTGGGATGAATCAGAGTGTACGTGCACCTCCACGTTCGCGGGCTTGCGGAACTTGAGAGCGAAAACAACCTTTGTTAGAGCGAAAATCTTCAGAGGAAGTGTATCAACCGCTTACCAGTTCTCCAACCCAAATTAGTCGCTAAAGTAAACAGCGCTTCCGCTAGGAAAAGAGCCAAAGTATTGGGAGGGGCAGTTGTAAAAAAAGGGGGGGAGAGATCGAGTGCGGACTCCAATACTAGTGACAGCAACTAGGGGATGATATGAATTTCTCTCAAAGTCATGGAGGAAATTTTTTTTTTCGTATTGAGTTGGTAACCCGTTTCATGTGTTTTTCCCCTTTTCTCTCGCGCATCTATCTGTCTCTCTCCACTTTTGGGTTTGGCCAAACAGAGTAATTTTTGTGTGTGTGTGGCATGATGGATTTTCCATGTACGGTGAAGTTGCTGACCCCACCTAGATAGAGCGAGTGAATAGTCGAGCCTGGCAACATTGCAACCCCCCCCCCCCTCCCAACCCGAATTGTGTAATCACAACTGGCGCTGCTGAGATCTTCGGTCGCTCGTTTCTACCGGAACGGATAAGAATAGTGGTTTGGTAAACAAATGTCAATGCTGCAAGAAGGGCCACAGCATCACCCGAGTAGGGATGGCATCGATTCCAAGGAAAGGAAAGGGGGGCTTCCTCTTTCTTGCCGCGAACGGGCCGTGGTTACAATAAGCAAGTGGCAATATTCAAGCGATTCAATGGGAAGAACACCATCCAGATCCTGAACAAGGGCATATCTTCTCTTCACGAGTTGCCAGAGCAGCGGATCAGTAGTGAGCAGTGCTCCAACTCACTCAGGGTTCAATGCACTTGCTCCAGACCTGTACGCTGTGTCACACCTGCCTTACAAAGCTAAACTACATAAGGACTAGACCCATCAGGGGCATGCATGGGAGAGGACGCGCAAGGACTGATGAGATCTTCAATGTAACAGTACTTCCAGTTGCACCTTCGCAGAATCGACTTGACTCCAGCGGTAACTCCCCAATGATCGCAGTGTGCGGGAGGGAACAGTAGCGCTTGATGATCATGACCTGTGACTAAGATGGGGATTGCCGCAAGACCGGTTGAAACAAATGAATTCGGCCAACTTCGCGACAATACAATTACTTATGTAATATAGCAAAGAAAAGCGTCAAATACCGAGTTCACATTTAAATATGCAACTCTCGTACCTTCTATTCTGGGCAGCCGGAAATCTATTTCCTATTCACAGTAACTGCCAACTTCGTGCCCTGAATTTCCCTAAACTGCTCTGGAGCCTTCGGCAAATTGCATGGCGTTCAAAGCAGTTCCATTCCTTGTTCAAATTGGAGACACCCCCCCAAGGAAAATCACCCAAAAGGCGCCAATTATCCGCTGAGAATTATAGTGGCTGGGCTGCCAACGTTATGTAAGATTCCTCCTCTTGGAAACTTACTGGGCCTCGTGAAATCATCGTGCGAGAACACGCGGGCTTGCACTATGTAAGCCATGACTAAGTAAAATAAAACAGAATGGGATTTCAGTCGAAGAATCCATTTCTACTTTTTGGGGAGGGCCAATCAGAATCTTTCGAGAATATCTCTATGACCCCATGCTTTTATGTCATGGAATCGTACGAACGTTCGTTGATACTTTCTTATCTTCTAACCCGCAAGCATAAAGAAACGTGTCTCCCTCACTTATTTCAAATGACTGACGCGCGCCCAGGAGCGGATCGATAATTGAGTGGAAAACACTAATTATTGCTTCCCCCCTACTTGTTCGCGCTATTGGACCGCAGTTGGTACCGTGTGTGTGTGTTCGGGCGGGAACGTACGTACCTGCAGCCAGATGGAGATGCGGAAATCCAGCGGAAGCGCGCTTCAACTAGCCAAAAAAGCTGTGATTGGATATTTGACTGGATAGGTCCAATTGGTTTTTTCTTTATGCGGCGGATCTGCCATGCTAGCTGGGCTTAGTATCCAATTATCAAAGAAGGGGCGGACTCCTTTAATGAAAAGGACGTCATCCCTCTCCCTGGTCCTCCAAGATCGATGTCTCAACCACCTTTGTGAGTGCCACCCATCACCCATTTACGGACTTCAGAGGCCGACACCCCTTCAGATGCCGTGGGAAAAAAAAAAACAACTTTATTCTGGAGAAACCATCCTCTTTATTTAAGGTAGGCTCGATCTGGTTCTCAACGTTACCTCATGATCGACTGCTCACTGACTTTGTTT